CTATTTTCGTGTGTGTATTGTGCTTTATGTTGTGTCTTGCTCCTGTGACTGCGTGTGTTATACTGCTGGGCCTGCTGGGTATGTGTGTGTGTGTGTGCTGTCTTCGTTTTGATTCTTTCTTCATAGTCATCGCTGTGAAAACCTCAAAACTTACATAGCCCTGTATACAGTTCAACAGTGGTGTGAAAGGACACACTTGTCTATCAATCCAAACAAGATGGTGATTGTACCCTTTACTAGGAAGAGGGGTATAAAGGGGCTCAAAGAACCAATCCTCTTCAGTAAAGTGGTCAGGCTATCCAGTGAAGTCAAGTACCTTGGATTAACATTAGACAAGGGGCTGATATGGAAACAACAGCTGGATAAGGCTATTAGTAAGGCCTATATAGCCTTCTGGACATGCAGAGGCACGTCTGGGAAGACCTGGGGACTGACACCAAAGGTGGTGTATTGGATATACACTGCTGTAGTAAGACCCATAATCACCTATGGTGCCACTATATGGTGTCCTAGAGTCACGCAGAACTTAGCAAACTGCAAAGGACAGCCTGCTTGGGAATTACAGGGGCAATGAGAACAGCTACAAACGCTGCAACGGAAATCCTACTAGAATTCCCTCCACTGCATTTGCAGATGGAAGCAGAGGCCAAGTTAGGAAATTACAGATTATGTTGCAATGATCAATGAAGACCTAAATCTGAAGGTTTTGGACATGCATACATGACTCAGGACATGTAAAAAGAACGCATCATACAGATGGGATCTGATAAAATGCTACCAAAACATGTTTATGACAGACCCTTCACGATCAGATTTCCTGATAGAAGTGAATGGAAAGAGGGGTTTCAACCTGATAGAAAGGGGGACTAATCTGGTATACAGATGGTTCCAAGACAAATAAAGGCACTGGAGCTGGGGTGTATTGTGATGGAACAAGGCTGAAGCATACCTTCAGCCTCGGTCAGTACACAATAGCATTCCACGCAGAGGTGTATGCCCTTAAGACATGGGCAGACTTAGATAGGAACTATAGAAATAGAAACATCTATATTCTATCAGACAGTCAAGCTGCAATTAAAGCACTTGGTACACACCAAATCACTTCAAAATTGGTTTGGAACTGCCACCAATCACTCATACAACTGGCCAGACGTAACAAAGTACAACTGATATGGGTGCCAGGTCATGAGGATATTGTAGGGAATGAAATCACAGGTCAACTGGCAAGAACAGGATCTGAACAGCTGTTTATAGGACCTGAACCAGCTTGCAGCATCTCAATTGGAGTTGCCAAGAAAGCGATCAGGTACTGGACTAACAGAAATCAGAAAAAACACTGGGATTCCATAACTGGACTCAAACAGGCAAAAGGATTTATATCAGGACCCTCTGCCAAAAGAATGCGGGACCTATTAAAATTAAACAGAGATCAACTCAGATGGGTGGTAGGATTACTTACAGGACACTGCCACCTAAAAGGACACCTTTCCAAACTGGGACTGATAGAGGACCAAACTTGTGAGGTGCCTACAAGAAGAAGAATCAGCCACACACATCTTATGTGATTGTGAGGCTATAGCTTATTTAAGATATCGCCACCTGGGTCAATTCTTCATGGAACCAAGTGACATTTATGATGCCCTTGTAAACAAAGTCCTACATTTCATTCAAAGTGTAGGATTAAAAAGGGTTAATGGCTCAACCCTCATACTCATACTCATACTCATAGAGCTTGCCTACCCCATAAATTGGATACTTTGCATTAATATACACCGAAATTTGCACCTATAACACACACACTGTAGTTTATTAAATTTCTTTGAGCACCTTTCAACTGATCTGTATGTATGTGTGTAAGAGGTGGGCCTTAAAATATGGCTCTCGCACTGTGACCTTCAATGATCTATTTGCGCTTCCCCTTTGGATTAACCTTTTATTACTCCTACACTTCGAATGAAATGTAGGACTTTATTTTTGTGGGCATCATAAAAGTCACTTTGTTCCATGAACAACTAGCCCAGGTGACGAAATCTTAAGTAAGCTATGGCCTCACATAGGATATGTGTGGCTGATTCATCTTCTTGTAGGCACCTTTCACAGGTTGGGTCATCTGTCAGTCCCAGTTTGGAAAGGTGCCCTTTTAGGTGGCAGTGTCCAATAAGTAATCCTACCATCCATCTTAATTGATCTCTGTTTAATTTCAACAGGTCCTTTGTTCTTCTGGCAGAGGGTTCTGATATAAATCCCTTTGCTGTTTAAATCCAAATGTGGATTCCCAGTGTTTTTTTGTGATTTCTGTTAGTCCAGTCCCTGATCGCTTTCTTGGCAACTCCAGTTGAGATGCCGCAAGCTGGTTCAGGTCCTATGAATGGTTGTTCAGATCCTGTTCTTGCCAGCTGATCTGCAGTTTCATTCCCAGCAATACCCTCATGACCTGGCACCCATATCAGTTGAACTCTGTTATGTTTGGCCAGTTCACAGATCTGTAAGTATTTTATAAAGTGATACTATCTTTTGTGTCTGAAAAACCTACAATATTCAGACAAAAGAAGCAGTCTTGTGTCCTTTAAATTTCTGTTTCCTTCAGTAACATTTAATTTACTAATATAAGTCTTGTTTATATTGATGCCTAGCAGGTGAGTTGTCTATACAATCATGACCTATTGACATCTATCAAGAAATAACTGACTTACATATTTTCATACCTGTTACAGCACAAATACCAGTTCCTTATGCTCCTGCCGAATAGCGTAAAAACCACAGCAGCAGAACTGTATTATGAATGTGTTAACTCAGATTGCACAAAGAAAAATGAAAGAAAATAACTTCTTACCTGGTTGTTAGGGAAGGTGCCATCTTTGTCAATTGCATTGACCTGTGTCACTTTGGTACCAATAGGCTCGCCTTCAAGAACTGTTTCTTGTTCTCGCTCAGTGAAGAGAGGAATTTCATCATTCACATCCTCAAGCATGATGAAGACAGTGGCTTCTGAAGCCAACTGCTGTGCTCCATTATTCTGCGAATAATTACAGAAATGTACATAGGCATGTAGGAAATAAAAAGAAAAATACTGAGTGTGGAGTCATTCACCATGGAACAGAATATAACTTGCTTCAACTCAAGGTTCTATAACATCATAGCAATTTTGCACTTTGAAACCAACTCATAAACACAGGATAAGACCAACCTAACCACTGTAAAACAAAGCGTATCAAACTCTGTATCTTAGACTTGATTGTTTTGGAAAATGAAACTCAAAAAATTCTATCAGTATTACAATGCGCACAGCAAACATTTAATATAGAGAAATACAATTATAAAAATGTGATGTCCATAACAGTAGTGTAGTTAATCATTAATTTATATTCCCTTATCCTTAATATTGAAAAGTGTATCACAAAATCTTACCTCTACTCTTATGGTTAGATTATATTCTTTTATAGTTTCATAGTCCAACGGATGATTAACTTTTATATCTGCCCAAGTAAATCCATTATCTGCTCTCTGTTGTAAGTAGAATGTATGAAACTTGTTTGTTTGTGCCGTTGACCCTGGCATAAGATGATAGAACACTGTGGGATTTCCATCTATCCCAGAGCTGCGAAGACATGACAACACATAAGCAAATCATAACAGTATTCTGAAAGAGAGTAATACATAAGCCCAAAATCATAATGAATCTACTTGAGGATATCAATTTTCACAAATGTTCAAGAATATATTAAGAACATGTAATCTCATTTGAGTAAAATTTATAAGTTTGTTACCTGAATCCTTAGTCCTTTCCCCATTTCTCAAAAGATATGATGATTATAAATATAATTCCATATGCACTGCAAGATCTGGTTGGCATTTGAAATTTTCACAGTGATTAATGACTGTTCAAAACTCAAAAATGTAAAAAGTTCATTACATGCATATAAAAATTGCCTGCAGGAGATATGAATATATCTAACTTACAACTTGCTCTCAATACTTATGGCACAGGCAGAAATTGATACTGTACTATACATTGCTTTTACCAACTGTCACACATTAACAAATGCAAACATGCAACTTGAAACTGTTTGAAAAAAATAACTTCATCTTCTGCTTCTTAAATATGCTTTTCAGCGTCCACAGATTGTACAACAAAATAGTACTACAAAAACTACTAACAAAAATCATGCTACAAAAATCACAAAAAGTTATTCTCATTAAGTCCAAAAACAAAAAGAGAAAAGTTCTGTTGCTGCTGCAACTTATTTACCTTAGTTATGAATATGCCTGACATGAAGCGTTGGAATATTACCATTATAAACATGGGTATGATCTGGAATCCCACACCTAGACATTCCCATAACAAAGCTTCTGTTACACAAATTATTAGCATGCTCTTTAAGCCAGCTATCAGTTCATCAATTATGCATGTTAAAACATGGCTGATTAATGCATTTCATATTGTATTAACAATTTAATAAAATATTAACCAATTATGTAACAAAGTTTACTTACTTCACATACATCACTGCACGTTTACACTGAATGTTGTCAGTAAATACACAAACCCAAAATGTTGTGAGATATTAGATTCCTTGGGAATACCACAGTGACTAGTGCTTGACAGAAAGAATATCTGAGGTCAAGTTGAATGCAAGTGATATTAAGTTGTGCGGTCTTGAAAGATCTAGTGAATGACAACATTCAGTGCAGATAAGTAAAGTCTAAGGTATGTATTTGCTAGAAGACTTGATTTCCCTAAATTTGTTGAAGCTGTCAGATTTATCTGCAAACATCACTTCCTCATCAGAAGGAGAGTACAGCTGTGCTGACTAAGAGACTTCTAGCATTGCCCACACCAGCAAGGCTTATTAAGTAAACACATTTAGCTCAATCAAATGAAAACATCAATCAATTTGGACACTTGCTTCCAAAACAGATAAATTCAAAGCAGCGCATTAGTTTCTTGCATGCTGAGCCTGTGGAACACCAATCTGCTGCAGTGTTTTCATCTGATTGTGCAAGCGTTGATCCGGTGACTAACTAAGACTTTCTCGACTGATTCAAGATCATCTCAAAACACATGACAAGTAGTACAAGGTAACAGGGGCCGGGTTGGACAACCACACACCAAGATGAAGTTTGGACGTGCATTACGTGTTGGGAGGCAGCGTGCAATATACAACTCCCACAGTGCCGTGCAAGGGTCAGGCGTGCCGCACGGAGCAACCAACATTGAATCGGATGACAGACCTGGCTTTAACCGATACAACTTTTGCCCCGATCGGCATGTTTTCTTTAATGTAGATGGGTCCGTAGACCACATGGTCCCACACTGGAGGATTGTTTGCACGGTCCACAACATCAATTTGAACTTCCACGGTTCGGGACAAGGGAGGGTACCCTTTATCTTGAGCCATGGCCTCCAACTTGTATGTTTCTCGCTATATTAAAAAATGTTCAATGGAAAAACAAGAAAAAAATCACGCCGTTAGTCATGTTAGTCCTTATGCACTAGTTGAGAGATGGATGGTTACTTGGGAGACAAGGTGGGGGCACGCAAGTGGATGAACCCAACCAGTAAAGTGACCAGAGTGATTCGCCTGGCAACTGAACCTTCCCCACGACTACAACACGAACTTGTTCCCCCCACCGAACGGAACTGTGGCGTTCGACCTGGAAAACGTAAGCAATCCCATTCGCAGTTACCAGGGGAATGCACCTTCCTAATCACCGATGAACTTACAACTAGACCGACGTGGCAATACAAACCTGGCTTTCACGGACGTCACTACTGTACCAACTGTGACATTTTCTTTGATGTGAATGGGGCCGTATACGCTCACGTCCCACAGAGGAGGCTTATTGTTCCTGTCTACGACGTCTAATTCAACGTCCACATCTGCATAGGAGGGAGGGCTGCCCCTGTCTGAGGCACGGACACGCAGGCGGTACCTTTCTCGCTACAGTGGCATGAAAAGACGTGCCGTCAGGTCAATGGGGAGATAACAAGCACAACGTTTAATTCAACGAAATAAACAAACAAATTAAAACAAACTCAAATATCACAAATCCTAAACTTTCTAACTTAAAAGAACTGAAGGGACAAAGAAACCACACATAATCTGATAAAACTTACTATGCATATTATAATTTTTCTCATCAAGTACTTAACTAACTTGTTCTTTGATTGCAAACTTCAAGACAATAACAGGCAACAGCTACTAAGTACCATCAGCAGATTTCACTGAACTACTTTACTTCCGATGATGAAGGTTATTAAAATTTGACACACGCTGATTGATACTGATAATAGTAATTCAACTTAACATTATTTCAACTATACTACTTCTATACCACTATGAAATCACGAGACTTGAATATTCCATTCCATGTTTGCACACAGACATGGTGTGACCTACTTACTGGAAAACATCCCTTGTTGTGGTTCAATTCCGAAGAACAGAAATGGTGCAATTAACAAAATAAAACAAGAGTATAAAAATTATAAACAATGTCATCAAAGCAGGCAGTTTACATGCGGAAAACTATGCATTTCCAAATGCCAGTGGGGATTGAAGGAGGGTGAAAAAAGATGACGCCATCTTAATCACGGCATCCAAAAATGACGGACGCTTTCCTGATAGATACGCTGCCCCATACACAGAAGGAAAAATGTCACAAATGTGATATCGACCAAGTAATATCAGAGCAAACCCACCAAAAGGGCTTAAAAAATCCACCTCTGATACTCTTAGTCGACCAAAATGCCACAAACACTGTATATTATCGCATTGTCTCCTCCTGAAAAGGGAGGTAAAAAAAGACATATCAAGACAAAAACATACTATGTCAATAAAACTGTAGTTTCAATCTGCAAAAATCACTACATTCTCTCTGAAAAGTAGCTGAACAAAATTAGCATATCGGATTCATAAGAATCCAGCATATAGCCTAAGTATCAACCACAAAAAAACTCAACAGTTAGACTTCACTACATTATGAAGAACACCTCTTCAAATACTGTAAAATATTTTAAAAAGTGGTCATATCCCCAATTTTATGAAAATATTGCCTTGGTAAGAAAACATATACTTCAAAGTATATCCAAACATATAATACTGGAATCCACATGAACAAGAACTCATGAAATGTGCATTTGGATATACAGTGTGTATATGTCCTGAGACAGTGTAGTACAGTACACATAATAAAAATTACTCAAGGTAAGTGCCGTAGAAAGGAAACTTATTCAACACATATTTACTGTGAAATGTTGTATGCTTTAGAGCAACGTAAAGTAATGTGATCAAATCAAGTAATATACCCAAGAAGCTGAAGATATATAAACAACTGCAACAGTCTGCTGATTGCAAAGTGTGAATACACACCAAAATTATAATGCTCAGTAATGTCAGATTACCATCACCTTTACATGTGCTCAGCAACTCCATCAGGGTTATACCAATACGATCTCAACCCAACTATTACAAGGGTTTCATTTCTGGGCAACAACAGAAAGCTGTCCTTCAAACAGCTTTGCTTTTTAAAATCAGGACTGAAGTTTAGTAAGCAATAAAATGAAACAATCTATTTTCTGACCAAATAATCAAATAAAACCCTTGTCTTAAACAAGTTACAGCAAATTGGAAAAAGAAACAGCTGCAAAGCAGACTCAATAACATAACTTGAACACATGTACTCCTACACACAGACATCCATACATACACTTTCACACAATCTTGTATCCATATTCTGCAGAGTTCATTTATTCCCTGAGGACATGTATGTATGCAAGAGTGAAAGAAAGGAGACAACTAGCACAAACCAACCAGAGACTGATCGTCACTTACATCCAGCGGCTTCCGCAACACAATCCAGCCAGACTCCTGCTGGATCTCAAAGTACTCGAGATCAGATGGACTGTAGGGAGCACTTAGTGTATAAACAATTGCTCCATTGTTGTCAGCATCTTCATCAGATGCAGACACACGCAAAATGTTGGTACCAATACTTGCATCTTGCTTCACATTCTCTACATATTTCTGGACAAAATGAGACATAGATACTCAGCAATACAAATATATTGATGTTAAACATTATTACTGAACTTCACCAAACAGTGTTAAGATGATTAAATCAAGGAAGATGAGATGGGCAGGACAGGTAGCATACATGCAATATGATTTCTTTATATATAACCAACAAAATTCTAATGTAACTTGTTTTATTTCCAGAGTAATCAATGTTCAGATTAAACAGGAATATAGAAAAGGGGTGAGATGAGAATCTGTCATCAACATATCTAAATATTTTTCCCCACAAACTCATAATGGTATACATTTTGAATACAGGTTCTCCTACAAAAAAAAATACTGTTAACATAATGCTACTTCATACATTATACATACTTAATGCATTTAACAATGTTCATGTCATAAGTAATTTAGTGATTTCATAACAATGGCCCTGATTACCTATCATCAAAACTAGTAATAATGAATGTACAAAATAAAAGACTAACATGCAAGTATAAAGGAAACAGGAGGAGTGAGAAACTAAAAAATATATCTTAACATGGCTTTGTCAACTATAAATTTCACTAACAAGTAACAGACCTTACACTCAAGTAAAGTTTGTATGCTGTGATGCTTAGCACAATATTGTAACTAGACTCAGCAGTCAGGCCCCACATTTGGGTTACCACTAATTATGCTACTGTTCCTGGCCTAATATCATGCAGCACTCAATGCACCCATCTAGCTCAGCAGGTACCAAAAGGCAGGATGAGAATGTTCTCAAGTGATACAGAGCAGAACATCTGATAAACGCTTAAGAGGCCGTGACTGTGAAAGAATGTTACATAACATGCTCTGATATAGACACAGTAATTATTATTCACTACCAATTTTTCGTATAGATATGGAATGATCCACCACTATTATACTTATTCTGAAATTGTCACTTATATATTGAGATGGATATTGCTTTATAAATTTGGTGAGAGTTTGAGTATGATGCTCTTGCTATAAACTAGTCATCTCCTCCATTCCATGATACAAAGATGGCATTCTGTGTTGTAATCAAAAAGATGTTACACCTCTGCAACCTGATCCGAAAGAAGAAAGATGTTACACCTCCTAAGATTGACTGAAAGAATGCCACAGTGGTGGGCTGGATACAAGCTAATTTATACCACCTATCCAGTGACCTACCACAATTAAAACTGCTTAGCTGGCCTCTCAGCAGCCACAAGCCACCAAACAAGATGGAATGGTATATACAAACCCCAATGGGTGTCCAAAACTTAGAATTTAGCCTGGGGCTGTAATAGCCTTGACCAAATTTGACACATGTTGTGGCTCAAGTCCACTTCGTTAGGTAACACAACAGAAAAAAGGATGTCAGGCATCCAGTGTAATTCCAGACTGCATGTGCCAAGTTTCCTATCAGCCTGCTTAAGATTAAAACAAGGTAACCCTTTCCTTCGATCAAAAAGAGCTGCAATAATTACTAATAAACAACATGCATATGAGAGTCATCAGTTGATAACCTTACCTGAATATCAATTTCCCTATCAAAATTCAATTAACATGAATCAAGATCCAGACTGCTTCCACTACAGACAGGTAAGTCCAGGATCTGAACTGGACCTGTCTGGCTATAGCAGATTTAACTAATTTTGATATTTAACCCTTTCACTACTACTTATGTAGCAGTTATGTCCCAAAAAAAAGGAAACTATTCTTCACGGATGGACATGTTCTGCCAACAATTAAGAGTACTGTAATATTATTTCTTGTAATGTCACAGTTATGTTGGATAGTGTTCACTGTATGTTAAATTTACACAACATTTTTAAAGTTTGCTTCCTTGCTGTGTCTTCAGGCAAATGGTTATCATTATAAGGAAAGATATATAGTTTTCCTGATTTCTTCTAATGCCACAGTTATGTTGGGCAGTGTTCACTGTGCATTCAATATACACCATATTTTTTAAGCCCTCTCTCCTTCCAGTCTTCAGGCAACTGGTTATAGAACAGATACATATTTCTATAGCTCTCTTTATGTACCAAAACGTTCACTGTATGTTCAATGAACACAACATTCTGGAAATCTGCTTCCCTTGGAAGTCTTTGGGTGACGGGTTATTGCTATAAAGACAGCACATTCTTCTTAATTTCTGTTTCAATAATAGTGGCAGAGATCAGAACTCAGAATACTAAACTTGGACACTAATTAGGATAACTATACTACAAGCACAGCAAAATAAAGGTTGTTATAACTCCAATTATGCTGCCCATCTTTCCTCTTTTTAATACAAAACTGCTTGAGCTAGGTGTTCAACCAGCTCCTGAAATGTGTATAGTAAATGCAACTAACGCTGTGGGCAATGTCAAACTTACCTGTTGTGTAATAAACCAACAACTGTCACAGTCATTTTGGGAATCATAATTTATTTTTTTACGTATGTGACATATAAAGAAAACAGAACAAGGAAAGAAAATGAAACAAATGAGATAGGAAAAAAGAAAAACAAAATGTTGGAAAGAAAAACCAGTGAACACTCACCAACACTCAGTAAAAATGAAAGGTTACCTATGCATACACATAAAACAAAACATGCAACTAGAATGTTACCTGTCTATCAAACAATGGTGGGTTGTCATTCACATCCGTGATCTCAACAGTGAATGAACATACACCTTCCAGTGAAGGTTCACCCTGATCAGTTGCCTTCACTGTCACTGACACAAATTTCCCATCGTCTCCTTCACGATCAAACACCTGGTAAGAAACATGATGCGAGACAGTTATGTGTCTTTGTTAGTTGTTATGTCCATGGTTACAGCACCATGTAACAGCCAGAACCCTATAGCAAAGTCTTTTATAAATGTCTAATTAACTAACACTGCAGTATCAGATGAAGAGCATGATAAAGCTGGAATAAGATATGGCACATAAACGGGGCAAGCAGTAGCATAACTGGTTGAGGCACTATGCTACAAGCTGGAAGGTTGTTAGTTCAATAGTTCAATTCCTGATGAGGCACTGGATTTTTCAATTGACATAATCCTTTCAGCTGCACTATGCCCCTGAGGTTGATTCAGCCTCTAACTGAAATTAGTACCAGCAATCTTCCTGAGGGCAATTTTTTTTTAATTCGCTTAGTGGGGGATGGAACCAAACTGGGTTCACTCAGCATGGTGGCCATTGATTGCCCTATTGTAGCCTGCCCCAGGTGATTATGATGATGGAGAATTTGGTGGAACAAAGATTGGCAGGGGAAACCAAAGTAGGGTAAAGGGCAGCTGAAGCGTAAGGCTGACAACCTCACCACCATCCAGGAGCCAACTGTCTAGAAAATGTGGAAGCCTCAACGTCTCACAACCCTATGGGCCTCTATGGCCTGTTACAGGGATGGCTTTACATTTACAGCATATAACCTAATCTTGGGGGAGGGGGGGATGAACATCAGCACCAGCCTTGAAGACTTCTTTGTTCATACTAATCATAGCTTTCCACCTTGTGAATTACAAGACATAGATTGGAGATTGTTCAGGACATAATGATCCAAGTTCTGAAGTTTTAAAGCCAGTTTCAACAAACCAATTTTTGGATTTTTGTGCTAAGTGACATTTTCCAGAAATGAATCACAACATAAGCTGAAGATTATATGTACAACACTGATGCAAGATATGACAAAAAGCTTCTCAAATTTCATTTTAGAAAACGCAAAAAATATATTTATCACAGGCTACAGTAACAACATTTACTATACAAACCATAATACTGTTCATAATGGAGAATTATTATCTTCTAAATATGTACATAAAACTAGTACACAGACACCTCAAATTCTAGACTTCAGCCATCTTGCTACATGTAATCTATACAAAGTCTTTAAGATTACATCTCTTTATGTTTACACTGGTCACTTCATAATGGTTCTTTTGTCTCTAAAAACCATTTAATGAAAACTTTCATAATATGCTGAAGTACAGGATTTTAGATTAGTGTTTTATAATTAAGGTTGAAACTTACTTTATTTGTTGACACTTCGCCTGTTTCTTCATCAACAGTAAACTTGGTGCCCTTCTGGTTTGGCTGTTGCACAATGGAGTACTTTACCTGTCCATTCACACCCTTATCTTCATCAGTTGCATGAACCTAAGGAAGAGCCAGCAGAAAAAAACTGAGACAGCTGCAATTTAGTACCACAAAAATGGAAAATCAATTACCATCATAATAAACTTTAAATGTCAGATCACTTATGGTACTTCCTATGGATCCCTAGATGGTCTTGAGCTCTCCATCATTACTTGGATCATAAGTCTCATCATTCCCTCAATGACAGAAGTGCCAGAGGTGGTCTCTCTATTCTTCCCAATTCTGTAGGTATGCTTCTACAAATTCAACTACACTTCTACCTCTAAATCTTTCTCTACTGCCAGAATTTCTTTAGTGGACTAATCTTGTGAATCCCAGTAATAGCAGTTGGGGAGAATTTGCACTACCTCTAATTTCTGGGTTTTCTTTTGCTTTAAAATCCAGACTTCACTATCAGAATTTAGTGTTCCTCTTGATGTCATGTAATCCATGCACAATAGTTTATCAACTGATATTTATGTGAAAAAATTAGCTTTCATTATTCCACTTATTATATTGTGTCATTGTAAATTTAGGTTATATTTTTCATCAATCATGAAATGTTTTCTAAATAAATACAAACAGATACTTCTATTATTTTTCCAACTATTTCAGCTTTTACATTCTGAATACTTCTTCCACACATTCCCATTACTTTAATATTTGATGTAGAAATGCATATATCCTACTTATGTACAATTTTATTCAGCTGGTTTGTTAAATTTTTATCTCCTTCTCAAATTTTGATATTATGATTTGACAATCTGCATATAACACTGTTTAATTTACATTGTTCCATCCAAACTGGAATCCATGTTCTGTGGTCTTTTTCTTTTCTTTTGTTAAATGGTTGGTGCCTATATTAAATAGAGAAATGGAGAGACAACACACATCCTGTATCTCTTTTATTACTCTTAATATATTAAATTCTCCCTATTGGGTATTTAATGCAATGTTCTTTGTAATTCTGATATACACTCTTTACTGATTTTATTAAATGCACTGTTGCACTTTCTTCTGTGAGAATACAGCACAGGTTCTCTTCCTTCAGATTACCATACACGTTCTCAAAACATTGCCTTCCTCCACCTCCTCCTCCTTCTTGCTGTTATGTCTTCATGGTTTTCATATTTGTATTTGTATCTGTATTTATTGTAAGTTCAAGAGATCCAAGGATGGATATAGAACAATGTCATAAAATAATATGAAGCATAGAATACATACACAGTTATTACACAACTAGCCAGTTCAATGAATACAACAATCATAAGAGTTATCTATTTAGATATTCATCCACAGTATAAAACATATGAGTGTTCAAGAAATGCCTTAATACAACCTTAAACTTTTTAAAATTATTAGATGTGTTCTTGAACTCTATGGGCAATTTATTAAATATTTTTACACCTGCATAATAAATTTCTTTTTGACAAATAGTTAAATTAGCTTGAGGTAGATACAAATCTTGTCTTTGTCTAGTATTAATAGTATGAGAATCAGTGTTTGATGGAAAAAGAACTTATTTTGCAATTACAAACACTAACAACGAAAATATATATTGTGATGCATATGATAAAATACTTAACTCTTTAAATATGTTTCTACACAAAACTCTATTGCCATAACCCAGCATCACTCTGATAGTCTTTTTTTTGGAGAAGAGAAACAGCAGAACTATGAGATGAAGTCCCAGAATGATGATACCATAGCTCATTAAGGAGTGAAAAAAGGAATAATAGATTACCTTTAGAGCTTAAATAGGCATATAATATTTCATATTTCTAATTACATAACAAGCCTTACTTAATTTTTTTTACAAGTAAATCAATATGATTCTTCCATATTAAGGCACTATCAACTATAACTCCCAAGAATTTAGTACTGAGGGTACTGTTGATAAACTTATTATTATGATTTATTGTAAAAATATCTGATATTATTGTCTTTGTTTTAAATTGATTACAATGTGTCTTGTTAAAGTTTAAAGATACTTCATTAGCTCTAAACAATCCATTTAAGATTTCAGTTGTTATAAGAATATTCCTGCTAAGAACATTTATATTAGAATGTGAAAATAAGATGCTAGTATCATCAGCAAAAATTATAGGTGCAGAAAATTTAGTTAATATTTTAGGAAAGTCATTTATATATAAGAGACACAACAGAGGTCCTAATACAGACTCTTGTGGCACTCCCTGTCTAACATCTTCAGTTTCCACAGTAATCTAGTCTATCAGCTCCATTTGCCAAACCTCACTTTTCCATACTGGGNAACATGTCACAATATGTTTTCCACATATAGGCAGGTCTCTTTCTTATTCTTCTTCCTGGTTGTCAACAGTGTAACAAATCTGTTGGTATTTCCTCCTCCATTCATTCAATATGACCATACCATTGCAGTACTCTATTTCCTGGATTCCTTATGACTGATGAAATAATATCCATTCTTACCCAACACTATTTCATTTCTCAGTCTATTTTCCCTTGCTTCCTGAGGACACCTTAAGTAATCATATTCATCTGTACTTATTTTATTCTTCAATTTTTCAGTCAACAGTCACATTTCACTTCCATATAACACAATAACTTCAACTATGCTGTAAAATATATTATTTTTGATTTCCTGCTCACCCTCTCTGAGAATATAACTTCTTTATTGAGACCGTCACAACACAACCACATCAAGGTCAGTGCCTGGTTTTGGCTCTGCTACATGTTTCGGCTATTAGTAACCATCACCAGGCAAATACATGGCTAGCATATATACACCACTGAACTGCAGTATTAATAAAACTGGATACAATAATATTAAATATATTAAAACACTTGACGTAAAAATACAATAAAAAGATTTTATAAAATAAAAGTTATAGCATAAAACAAGAATAAAATTCTTCAATTGATGCTTTACATCATCGAGTCAGTCGTTGGTTTTTATGATTTTGTTTCATTCCCATGGACAAATTAGAGTATTCTATATTTTGTGTATAAAAACTGTTATTGGAGGCTTGTGATGTAGATGCATTAATATTAATGTTAATTATTTTGTCTGTGCCTCGTCTTACAAAGTATTATCCGTTCTATAGGGAATGAAAACAACGTCTCTCTGAGAGACATGACAAGCCGTAGATGAATGGGAGGGTCAGGATCATGAATCTATGGCTTCAGCAGGCCCTGATGAGGCAAGATACGCCCGACACTGGCTTTAGTGAAACATCATCTATTGTGAGGGAAAATTACACTAAGCATGGCCTGCACCTAAACTCTTGAGGCAAGAAAAGGCTCATGCAACTTACTGCTGAGAGGGTTGCTGCTGTTGGCACTAGGACATAGCGACAACATCAACACAGGGAGCAGTCCTTATGCATATCATCATTAAGAAATCTAATATACATCACTCTAAATAAACAACCTGTTTGGTGACATAGAGAATAACGAGCACAAGATCCACAAGACGATAGTAAAGTCAAGACCACATGACCTAACTTACGTGAGAAGATCGCGATAAGCAGATGGCCTACAATATAGTCGCTTCTACCACCAGAAAATCATGTCAACATGTAGAAGTCATAAAGCTTTAAAGAGATTTATAGCAAAATACTTCATTTCCATTTTAGTAAAATTTTTAATTTTTATGTTTTAATCTTTAGTCTCTAATTTTTAATTTTTACTATCTGAGTATTTAAAATTTTGACCAAAAGTCTCAATTTATGCATTTAAGTACGCTCAAGTGCACAATAAGGATACTTATTGAAGAATTATATGTAAATTGTTAGATGCAATTCAACAACTGAGTCTGGTATCATTGTACACCTGATGATGACCCAGAATAAGGGTCAAAACATGTAGTGTCAATAAAAACAAATGTTGATATTATAGTGTCTACTTTGTTTTAAATACAGAATATTGTTGTATAGACTGCATACTTTTGTATACATTTTATGTACATTGTTTATGACACACAACAGGATGCATACCATTAAGATTGAAGCCTTTAACCTAAAATACAGTCTATTAAAATATATTAATCAAAAAATGCATGTTGACAGAATATTTTGTGATTTGACAAAAGCTTGTGACTGTATAAATCACGAAATTTTATTAAACAATTACATTATTTGGCATTCAAGGAGCAACAGAAAGTCGGGTCAGATTCTACCTAACAAAGAGAAAAGAAAAGATTCAAATAAAATAACCGAATTTAACCCAAGTACCTGCTCAAACTGAGGTACAATAAAGCATGGAGTTAAATATAATCATAATCATATAAACTGGAAAACCCATATCAATCAGTTAGTTCAAAAGCAAAGTGGAGCATGTTATGCAGTTAGATCAATGCTGCATATTAGGACCACTGACACTCTCAAATAAATTTATTTTGCAACTTTCACTCTTTAATGAAGTATGGAATAATTTTCTGGGGTAACTCAACTGACAGCAAAGAGGTATTTATATTGGAAAAGAAAACTGTTGGACTCAAGATGGGTGTCAAATCTTGTAGTTCTCGTAGGAGACTAGAGATCTTCCATGTAAATATATATTTTCATTAATTAACTTCATTACAAATAACGAATAACATTTTCAGAGAAACGCAGATGTACACACTGTTAACACAAGACACAAGCACTATCTCCATAAACCAAATGTGAACCTATCATGTTTTCAGAAAAATGGTGGGATAAAAATTTTCAATAACCTGCCATCTGATCTCAAAAGTCTTATGAATGAAGAAGCACAATTTAAAATAGTACTAAAATGATACAAAAATACTTATTGTGTAAAGAGTGACTCATCCATTTAAAGGTTGTGTAAATATCGTAAGTCGACAGTATTTATGTATATTTTGGATGTATTTTTGACTAGCCTCTTGTGTAACCACTGGTTTTTCTTCCGTTTTCATGTGTGAAAACTTCAGTTGTACAGTATATAAGTTTTTGTATTTCTATGACATATTCCATATTCTGCAGTCATTCTGACTAACTTCAGATGCATGGAATGTAATGTAATATAATATAATGTAATGTAACAGCTCCAACCTTCTTAACCTTGGCTCTAAACAGAAGTGAGTGATCAGCTTTTGCAGTCCTGCCACTTCTATCCCTCTGACAATAACCCATAATAAAATATAAACCACTTCAAAGAAAATATTTGTAAAAACCAACAAATTCAAAGAAATGAATGTTAAGTGTAGCAATGTAGATCCTCAGTCTAGAGGATATATGCACATTTTAATTTACTAGCACACATACCTTTATGACAGGACTGCCATTGGGAGCACCTTCTTCAACTTTAGGGTAGTAGGTCCCACAGTCTTTAAATACTGGCTTATTGTCATTCACATCCGTAATAAACACCACCACAACAGCTGTACTCGTGTGAATCGTTGCATCACCATTCACACAGCATGCTCCATCATCCATGGCAGTTACATTCAGTTCATACTTGTCTCGATCTAATGATATTGCCTTCCCATGCAGCCGAATTACTCCAGTGATTTCCTCAATCACAAACTGACCTGACGATGTACCCCCACCAACAAATCCAAACCTGACATTGTCTCCATCTTTATCAGAAGCAACAACTGTTGTAACTAAAGTATTGGGACCAGCATTTTCATCCACATTTGGAGTATACACTTGCTGTGAGAACTTCGGTTCTTCATCGTTTTTATTCTTTGTGTAGATGCGAACAGTAGCTGTGCCAGTTTTGGAAGGTTCTCCTGAATAAGAAAAGTTCTATGTTAAAGTCCACAAAACATTATGCATTTATATTAGTTACAGCAAATGAAATTATAACTACACAATCAGTACAACAACTACTGATTAATCAAACTTTCTTTAAAGATAAAAACTTCAATGAATATGATAATCATTCTTATTTTTCATAAGTTAGCACTGCTGACAAATGTACCAAAAGATACAAGATTTCTCTTCAAGCAATAAGTTCCTTTGCATATTAAATCTTAATTCGTTTCTTGTTTTGTTTGCTGTTGGACAGCAAAATGGCAACAATACTCAGGTATGAACTAGTCTGGAAGGGAGACTGCCACCCAAACTAATTGTATACAACAGAGAACAAATCTTTATATCATAAAGCTTAGAGTGTGTATAATATTAAGAGTGTACCAGTCATAAATTAATCAAGTCACTTTTAATATATGTTGTAATATAATAACCAGATTGATACCTAAATGTTAGTTCCCTATTATGAGTTCAGTTAGCAAATTCTGCGAAAACACTGTATAAAAATGAATATCAGTATTCATCAAGGTTGTACTAATTCAGTTTTTTTATATTCTCAAGATCAATAAAAACTTTCATTATGTAATGCCTCACCACCGAGGGTGGATGAATAACTGAAATTGTAGGTGCATGCATGTGTGTGTGTGTGTGTGTGGTGTGTGT